GGAGTGGCCACCCGTGGGTGAGGCATGGAATAATTCCAGGAGCTTTCTGAGATGAGCATAGGCTGCCGGGATTTCCAGGCGTCCTTTGAAGAAGAGTAGATCATTCWTAATTGTGTACCYGGGGTGCAGTGAGGGATTTGCCAATACTTGGGCCTTCAACTGCTGTAACTCCTTATGGGATTGGGCTTCTTTTCGTAGTAGATCCAGGAGTGAAGTTGGGGAAGATACTAGTAACTGAAATGACTATGGGTGCCGTGAGAGGGCGTCCGCCACTCGGTTAGCAATCCCTGCTTTGTATTCAATTCTGTAGTCGTACCCCAGTAGCTTGGATATCCAGCGTTGCTGTTCCGGGGATAGAATTGATTGATCCAATAAGAACTTCAGATTGATGGTCGGTCCGAATTGTGAACCGTCTACCGATCAAGTAGGATCGCCAACGTTGGACTGCTAAGACCATTGCCATTAATTCTCGCTCATAAACTGATTTGGCCCACTTTTGTGATGTTAAGGCCTTGCTGAAAAAGGCTAGTGATCGCCCCTCTTGCATGAGAATAGCCCCAACGCCTTGACCCGAGGCATCACACTCAATGATGAAATCTTTTGTGAAATTGGGCAGTGCTAATGTTGGAGGGCTCGCAATTGGCTGTTTCAATTGCTCAAAAGCTTGTTGGGCTTGGTTTGACCAGTTAAAAGCGTTTTGTTTCAGCAATTGGGTCAATGGGGTAGCTATTAGGCCGTAGTTTTTGATGAAGCGGTGGTAGTACCTGGACAGTCCCAAGAAGGCCCTCAATTCTTTCACACATTTGGGTTGYGGCCAGCCTAGTATACTGGAGATTTTATCTGGGTCAGCCGCTACAGTCCCCTTTTCTACAACATGTCCCAAGTAGTGAACTTGGTTTTGTCCAAAGGAGCACTTGGACTCTTTAGCRAAYARCTGGTGGGCCTCAAGTGTTGCAAGGGTGACCTGTAGATGGTTCAGATGTTCCTCCCAATTGGGGCTGCAGACCAATATTTCGTCAAAGAAAACAAGGATGAACTTACGTAAATATGGCCGAAATATGTCATTCATCAAGGCTTGAAATGTGGCTGGAGCATTGGTCAGCCTAA